CGGTGTAGTATCTAGGTCTAGGAAGCTTCCTTTTGTACTTAATTTGTGGCGGTTTACAACGTCCCAATTTTCAAAATGCGTGATGGGAGAAATCATCATAAACACCAGTAATACGCAAAGAAAACGGCTTCCTAAAATCAATCTATTTGCTTTGTTCCTTAAATGAAGGCCTACGTGTGTCCTTGAGTGTTGTCCACGTCCTCAGGTTTTGGGTTATTGCCACAGCGAAGAAATTTTGGGCTGGTTGTTGAGGGTCACAGCCATTTCTTGTTCTAATGATCCACAGTGATAAGACAACGACTTGGAAAAGAGATAACCAAGTTGTTCACCGACATGGTTAATAACAAGTACACTAATCATTAATACTACGTAATTTAATACCTGACCTAATATAATAATAATACGTTCCGCACAGTTTGAAATTAGATGCCAGAGAAATTCTAGAACGATGCAAATAATGCCTAAACTAATGATTATGATATATGTATGTATATATGTGTGTCTGTGTGTGTATATATATATATATATAATATATATATATATATATATATATATATATATATATATATATATATATACATATATATATATATATATATATATATATATATTTATTTATTTATTTATTTATTTATTTATTGACTTATTTATTTATATATGTATATATATGTATATACATATATATATTTGTTTGTGTGTGTGTACATATATAGTCTATATATATAGATATAAAGATATTAAACAATAGTAGTGTGTTAATCGTAGCAACGACAATTTAAAAAAATGACAATGAAGCAACAACGATAATATAATTATTCCTCTATACCTGATATCTCTCCCTCCCCCTCCCCCCTATCCCTCCCCTCCCGCCGAAGGTCTGGTTCTACAACAACCGCCTCGCCTCGCGCTACCACGTCCGGATGTTCGGCGAGGCCAATGGCGACAGCTTCGGCTACAGTTTAGCTACGGCCGACGTGGACGGCGACGGCGCAACGGATCTTATAGTCGGGGCGCCGCTCGCTCAGGCCCCCAACCAGATGCTGGACCACGGGAGGGCGTACGTGCACTATGCCCCGACGAAGAAGGTGGGTGCTAGTGGCGGTGGGGCGGGTTGAGATACTGTCACACTAGCACTTTTTCCGTCATTTTTTTTTTTTTTTTTACATTTTTCTGATATTTTGTCCATTTTTTGAGCGAATTGTCGATTCTCCAGTCAGACGATAATGATCGTTTCCGTCTGAAAACCTTTCCGTCAACTTTTTTCAGCCAAGCAGAGTCAAATCAAGAGCTATATTCGAGAATGTTTGTATTTATGTTGAATAAAATTGTCCAAAAATTGACGGAAAAAGTGCTAGTGTGACAGCACCTTTATGGTTCCTATTGGTGGCGAGAGGAATCGTTTTTGGTAAGGTGAGGAAGGTCTGGTGCAACGTTGAATGTTATATTTGCTATACTGTATCAGATATTGCTCTTGTCAACTATATATATACGTGTGTGTGTGTTTGTACATTTATGTATATATGTATGTGTGTGTTTAGGGTTTCGCTTACCTTTAAGATTAGATTTTGTATATCGGTACATACTCTTTGTTTTGAATACGACCCATTCCAGAGCCTTTAACACGTCCAAACGAGTATCCAAACATAATTCCCCGGAAACGTCACTTTCCAGAACAATGACACTTAAGGGGCTGTCACACTAGCACTTTTTCCGTCAATTTTTTGACAATTTCATTTAACATCAATACAAACATTCTCGAATATAACTCTTGATTTGAGTCTGCTTGGCTGAAAAAGTTGACGGAAAGGTTTTCAGACGGAAACGATCATTATCATCTAACTGGAAGACCGACAATTCGCTCAAAACTTGAAAAAATTTCTGAAAATTGTTTAAAAATTGACGGAAAAAGTGCTAGTGTGACAGCACCTTTAGGCTCGGCGACTTGTCATCTTTCAACCCTTAAAATCAGATACGTCCGTCGACCAAACCGTAAACAAAGGTGTGATTATCGTTTTCTTTGCCCTCTCCAGGTGTCCACGAGGCCTAGGTCGGTTATCATAGGAAAAGAACCCTGGGGCCGCTTCGGACATGCGGTCAGCGGCCTCGGCGACCTCAACCAGGACGGCTATGATGGTAAGACTTTTTTTTGACTTTGACACGTTTATTGAGACAAAAGTAAGACTTCTAGCGGGAGTGTGTTCTTTATCTCGGTCTTATCGCGTCCTTATCTTTACCCCTTTTCTTTCGTGCATTTAGGGAGATTATGCGTTTACTCACCTTTTTTTTCTTTAATTTTCTTTAATTCAGCGTTGAAAGGTAATATTTCTTTCAGTGTGACTGTATTACTGTATTACGTGTATTGTATGTTTAATACAGAATAAAAAAATACTGTTTGTGAATTAAGTGAACTGACTATTCAGTATAGAAAAAATACTAAATAGTTGGATTGATTCTGTGTATTACTATGATTATTCTTTTTTTTTTTTTTTTTTTTTTTGCT